ATCAGACAGCAAAGTTGTTTGAACTGCAAGGTCGGCGGTTCAGGCTCACCAGCTGCTCCTTGGAAATCTTATACAGGGTCACTGTGGGTCAGAATCAACTCAATAGCACTGAACAACAACAGACAGTGGTGAAGACCAGATTCTATTCTGGGTGTGATAAGGAGCCCTGGGGTGTTTGGAGCAGTGAAGCGGCATGGAAGGTTTACATTGAGAAAGTCTCCCTCTGGCTTTTAGTGGAAAGATTGTAGTGGGGAAAGGTAGCATGAGGGACACAGCAATGTATGAGTTTCTTGTAGCTGCTGTAACAAATGACCACAAACTTGGTGGCCTAAAGCAATAAATTTACTAACAGAGAAATAACTATTCTCACTTTTGGAAGCTGGAAGTCTGGAATCAGTTTCACTGGACGGAAATGAAGGTATCAGCAGCGTTGTGCGTCTTCTAGAGTCTCTGAGGCAGGGTCTGTTCTTTGCCTCTTCCGTCTTCCGGTGGCTGCCCACATTCCTTGGCTTATGACCACATCACTCCAACTTTACCTCCTTGGTCATATTGCCTTCCCCTCTTTTGCGACTGTTCTCCCTCTGTCTCTCTTTTATAAGGATATCTGTGATGATATTTAAGGTCCACTCTAATAATCTAGGATAATCTCCCCATCTCCAGATATTTAATTACATCTGCAAACTCCTTATTAAATACATAAGGCAACATTCACAGGTCTGTTGTTATTATTGTTAAGTGCTGTTGAGTCGATTCTGAATCATAGTGACCTTGCATAGGGTTTCCGAGGAGCAGCTGGTGGGTTTGAACTGCTGGCCTTGTGGTTTGCAGTCCAGTGCTGACCCTACAGTGCCACACCAAGAGTGCATTCACAGGTCTAGGGGTTAGAGTATAGATGGGGACATTCTTCAACTTACCACATTAGGGAAACATTGCAATCGTGTATATAGTTGATGGTGATGGCTTGAGCTGGGAGGCTACAGCAGGGCTGAAGAGCAGCAGTGATTTGGGGATTTATTGCCACACGGGAGTGGAGGTGAGGAGAAGAGAGAAGCAAGGTTTCTAGTTTGAGTCTCCGGTTGCTGGACTTGAAATTTTAAGTAGATGGTAGTGCCATTTACTGAGACTGGGAAGACGGAGGATGGGTCAGGCTGGGGCAGAATAGGAGGAAAGTGAATCAAGATTCCTGTGTAGCCATGTTAAGGTTGAGATGCTTGTAGACTACAACCGGTGAATTGTTAAGGAGGTAATTAGATGTATGAGTCCAGAATTTTGGCAGAGATTAAACTAGAGAATATTGTTGAATATGTTGTTTAGTTGTTAAGTGCTGTCGAGTTGGTTGCGACTCATAGAGATCCTATTTAGGGTTTTCATGAAACAGCTGGTGGGTTTGAACTGCCAACCTTGTGGTTTGCTGCCCAGTGCTGATCCTATAATGCCACACCAGGAGTCCATGTTGAATATGTTGTTATTAAGTGCTGTGGAGTCGGTTGCTGCTCATAGCAACCCTGTATAGGGTTTCCGAGGAGTGTCTGGTGAGTTGAATCACCGACCTTGTGGTTCCAACTGACTTTGAAGTCGAGTGCTTATCCTAGGACTCCTTTGAATCTGTTGTTGTTGCTGTTAAGTGCCGTCGAGTTAGTTCTGACCCATAGCGACCCTGTAGAGGGTTTCCAAGGAGCTTGAACCACCAACCTTGCAGTTCAAACTGACTTTGCAGTCCTGTGCATTAACCCTCAGAGCCACACCTGTTGTTTAAAGCCATTAAACTGGTTGAGTCCACCTAGGGACCAAGTGTAATAGAGGAAGAACCAAGGAGTGAGCTTGGGAGCAGCCAGTGTTGAAGGAAGGAAGACTCAACACAGGTGTCTGAGACGGAAGAGGTAGAAGGAAAGCCAAGAGGTCCTGAAGTCAAGTTGGAAAAGTGACTATGTCAAATCCTTCAGAGAAATCGAGTAGGATGAGGACTAAGAAGTCATCAGTCATCACTGGATTTGGCACATGGAGATCACTGGCTTGGGGATCAAAGCCTGGTTGGAATGGGTTCAAGAGAAAAATGGAGAAGAGGGAGTAAAGACAATGAGTCCAGACAACTCGTTCTAGAACTTTCAGGAGAACAGAGGAACTGCACAGTCTCTGGAGAGGAATGTGAGGCCCAGGAAGGAGCCATTGCAGCCCATGGATATTCCAAGGTGCCCCGTGGTTAGAGATTAAATTATTATTATCCCTATTATCTTCCTGTTATAGACAGTGCTGCTGTAGGAAGGCCTCATCAGGGTCTTGTTATTGAAATGAGAAGAAATGTCCTGTTCTGGGTTTGTGTTTTGTCAACATGACATCCTGCCGATCTGTGTATTGGTTCAACACTGCTAGTGTGTTTAAAGATGGACAGCTGATATTGTTCACTCAGGATTTCTTTGGCCAGCACTCTTCAAACCCCTACATTTCTGAGACTCCAGACTCAGTTCTCTCTCTGATCAGCCCCCTCCCCACACACTCACTTGAACCTCGTGGGCCCCTCACCTGTGGGGTGTGCCAACCACAAAGAAAGCCCCAGGAGGGTAGAGCTGAGCTGGATCCATCAACGCCTTCATTCTCCAGTGCAACTCATGAGCTGGAGAAGAGGAAACGACCCAGTAAAACCCTAACTACCGCACCTGCAGCAAGGTCTTCGTGAGCCAGGTCAGGCCAGGTCTGTGTGTCCTTCCCCTTACTCAGCAAGATTGCTTTCACTCAACCAGACCAGAGCCCTTGAGGGACCAGCAAGGGAAGGTCCAATGGGCTAGGTGCTCAGCAGTCAGAAACCAGGGCTAGCTGGCCTGAGCCAGACACGGGCCTTCAGTTTCTTCTTAAAACATCTGCAGGCTCTTGGAAGGTTGATGGATCTCAGCTACCATGGGTGAGTTCTCTGAGACGTTGGATGGTCCACGCAGGGTCTGAGAAGGCTGCCTTCTCTCTCTCACACACAAAATGCACTGATACTTACCAGTATGCACACAGACACACAATGGTCTACATATATACATGTGATTTCACTGTTAGATACATCTCTTACTAGACTCCCATAGTTGTAGGCATCCAACACAAACACATTTACATAGGATATTGATATATACAAAAAGATACAATTGACACATTGATGTGCACTCCACAGAAACACTGAACCCCATCCCAATACTCAGCAACCCCACACAGCATCTACACACACTAAGAGTGCATGGATGCACCGATGTAAAGGTGCCAACATGGGCACCCTGACACACAGCTAAGCTGTGGTAGACAGTCATCTGCACACAGACTCACACTTGGCTCACACTGCAGACAGACGCACTGACACTCCAGGCTGATAGACATACTGAAGCACATCTATGCATGAACCCCTTACACATGTTACTTATTCCCCAGCCCTGACACTCTGACCCACATGCTCACACATACCCTAACAAACTCTGAGGGTCTCTAGCCCTTGGCTCTCGTAGGGCTGCCCTGGGGAAGTTGCACTGGATCCTGGAGAGACCCTCTTCGCTGCATTCCCAGGGGGAGTCCCTGAGGGAACAGAGGTCTCCGGTGGGCCCCATCTTCAGCTCTGCTGGGCCCCCTGTAGCCTTGACTAGCCCGCTGGCTGCGCTGCTGCTGCTGCTGTTATAAAGTGTTCTGAGCTCTGTGCTGGGCCAGGGCTATTGGCCAGACACAGACACATCAGCCCTTGTTGGGAGAACAGAGAGCAGCTCTCTTATCCACTGCCCATCCTCCGGCTCCAGCTGCCGGTTCAGTCCACGGCCTCTCCTTGGGCTTCACAGGTATGTGGGGCTAGGGAGAGCGGGGCCTGGCAGAAGGGCATCAGGGTCAGCCCAGGAGGGTGTACAGTTGGCTGTGGGCTGTCTTCAGACACACAGACCCACTGTCTCCCTACTTGGCATTCCTAAAGTTCCCTCCTAGAGGGCTTACAGGGCTGGGGGATTGCCTCCTTTCTCCTGTGGTCACTTTCTCAGCTCCCAAGAAGAGCACTGGGTGGAATCATCAGGACCCCTTTGTAAAGATGTGCAGCCTCTGCCCAGAGAAGCCAGGCCCACAGTGGGGAGGTGAGCCCTAATGGAGGGAACTGGAGATGATCCCCATAGTACCCCAAGACTGTGGTCTTGGGGTACACAGTGCCCTGCAGCCACATGAGCAGCTGGGCTCTCAATTTCTGGTCTGGACTTTCCAAGCAGAGGTAGGGCTTTAAGGCTCTGAGCACCTGGAGCCAGGACCTGGACACCCAGACCTCTCCACCCTGCATGGCAGTGACGCTAGGGGCTCCTGACTGCAAAGACCAACTGCTCACATGGATAGTGTTGGATCTCAGACACTGGCCAGCCTGGGGTCTCTCCATGGCCCAACTCAAGGTCCCCAGGGCAGCTGTCATTCCTGGGGTGCTGGCTGGAAGTCGGTCCATGAGGCAGGGGGATGATGGTCAGCAAAGAGCCCAGCCTGGGGCTGTCTGCAGGTCTCCGTCATGCGGATATGTACCATGGGGGGTACGGGAGGCTCATGCTGCCCCTCACAGCTGTGTAACCCCAGGCATGTTCTCTCCTTAGGCTTCCCATCTGTGAGGTTGTGGGGGTGGAGCTGGGAGTGTTCTACAAGGGTCTTCCAGTCCTGGCCACCTGTCGGTGGGGTCATCCCAGCTGTCCTCCCTCCATCCCCTCTAAAGTATGATGAGAAAGGTTGTGCCCAGGGGTCCTCATTTCTTGCTCCATGAAGGGGTTGCTGGCCTCGGGTGGGAGATGCTCAGGTTCTAGCAGGTGCATGGGGGTGGGGAGCAGTGGAGAGGACCCCAGTAGGTAGGGAGTGAAGAGCAGCAGGAGCACCCAAAGTCCTAGATGGGTTCCAGCTCTCATGCCTGCTCCTCCCTGTGCCCACAGAGCCTCCCCGTTCACTGGTGCAAAATGGACTCTAGCCCGGCTGGGACCCCCAGTCCACTGGTAAGTGCTTCTGGTTCTCCCACCCATGTTATGAGGTGCACCTCCTCTCGAGGCTGGTGAACTCCTGGAGGCACTGGCCAACCCTGCAGGCCACCCCAGAACAAAGCTGGGGGATGGCGGGTCACTGAGCCATTTGCAAGAGAAACAGAGACAAGATTTGCACAAGGACTTCCAGAAGTAGATGGGGTGGAAGAATCATGGGATTGGTTGTAAGGACATCTGGTCTCTATCTTTCAAATGAGCTCAATAACCAGTAGCTTTCCAAGACTCATCTGCTGTGAGAAGCAGTTGAGATGGTGAATGGGTGAGTGGATGGCTGGGTGCTTGTTGGATGGATGTGTGGGTAGAAGGGTGGGTAAGTGTGGAGATGAATGGAAGGAAGGAGGGAAGGAGGACTTGAGGAAGGTAAAGCTTGCCTAGTAGAGATGTTGGAGAAGGGAATGAGAACCTGGGACAGACAAGAGGGAGGGGGTAAGAAGGAGGAACCTGCTGATCTTAATCATCTCTTTCTTCAAATATCTTTAGCCGTTGAGGGCCAATGGGAACATCAACCTGGGGCCGTCAGCCAACCCAAAGTGAGTTCTCTCAAACAGCTGTCCTACCTGACTCCCCTTGCTTTGTGGATAAAATCCAAGGTTACTGGGCTAGCCATCTAGGTCCAGGATTCTTTCCCAGGATTTATCTTCCACTGTTTCCCCAATCTACCTGGAATGTCCTCCAAATGTTAGCATTGTTAGCAACTCCCTACCCTCCAGGCTCTCCTCAGAGACTCTTGCACCAGATATCTTCTATGCAATGTGTCTGGTTTTATCTTTGCTTCATCTAGTTTGAGCTTAGTGAACTCCTCAGGGGCTGACATGAGTCTACAAGCCCTCTCTTATCTGTGAGAAAAGGACATTCTTCAGCAGCACAGAGGTTTTGTTTCCTAGAACTCTGTATCCCAGCTTCACTGTTAAAAGATGCTAAGGTTCAGACACCAGCTTTTCTGAGCTCACAAGTGCTGACCCATGTTCTTCCCTCTTCACCCAGTGCCCGACCCACTGACTTCGACTTCCTCAAAGTCATTGGCAAAGGGAACTATGGAAAGGTGAGTGACAGGGGTGAAGGTAGGAGTCCGGGTCTCCCTTCTCCAGCCTCTCCATCACTGCCTGTCACTTGCATGGGCCAAGGGGTGGGGTGGGTGTTGCACAATCCTGCAGAATACCGGAACCTGGGCTGGGGTGGAATCCCGTGCTGCCTTCAGAGGGTCAGGTGATTGGTCCCCATCACCCACAGGGCCTCCCAATTGTTCTGTTCAGGTCCTGTTGGCCAAGCGCAAGTCTGATGGAACATTCTATGCAGTGAAGGTGCTACAAAAAAAGTTCATCTTAAAGAAGAAAGAGGTACCAGATCTCCCCTCCTGCCCCTCAGCCTTTGATCTAGGGTGAGCTCGAAACATGGGCTCCAACTCTAAAGAGGGATCCATGGGGCTGGGTGCAAAGGTGGTCACAGCCAGGGGCCAGGTGATGCTCAGGAAACCTCCCCCAGAGGCCCTTCAGGAAAACCCAATCCTGGTCTTCTGCCGTTCCCTGGGCAACACAGAATGCCATGATGGGCAAATTTCCAACCCTTACTAGGTGCCAGACTCCTGATCTGTGCAATGCTGGTATACACTCTATACCCTCCGAGGTTCTTTCAGACCCGGACTTTCTAGATGTTTCAGCTGACTTGAATTCCTTTAGCAACCAGCCGACTCAGGAAAGGGGGAAAGTGGTTCATGTTAACCAGGATATTTTGGGAGGGAGAGGAGATCTTCCCAAGAGAAGCAGCTTTGCAGCTGGCCTTGAAGGAATGATTCCAGTGGACTGGGAGGAAGATGGGTTCATCTAGGCTGGAGAAATAGCAAAAGCAAAGGTATAAATCTGGGGAATGCATAATGCCTGACTTATTTGAAAGATTACATTATGTTATGTACATAACTTTGCTATCAGCTTGGGAGCAGGAGTTTCTGATCTAAGGCCTGGAGCTGTGTCCACCTAGATTGGCTGAGGATGAAGGTTGACCATGCTGAGCACTGAAATACCAGGCAGGGAGCTTGAGCTTGGAGGGCAATAGGGAGCCATAGAGGGTGCTTGAGAAGGGGCATGGCATGGTCTAAGGCAGGGCAACCCCAGTAGCAAGATCATATGGGCTATACAGGATACAAGGGGCTATGGTGGGTTGTGACATGGACCCCTTCCTGTCTGTCTGACCCCACAGCAGAGCCACATCATGGCAGAACGCAGCGTTCTTCTGAAGAATGTACGACATCCCTTCCTTGTGGGCCTGCGCTACTCCTTCCAGACGCCCGAGAAGCTCTACTTTGTGCTGGACTATGTCAACGGGGGAGAGGTGGGTGGGCCCAGAGGGAGGCTCCCTGGGCTGGAATGATCTCACCTCATCTTTATCATAGACCCATTTTGCAGAGGATGAAACAGGCTCAGGGAAGTGTTGGTATCTGGCAGAGCCAGGATTTGAATGCAGGTCGCAGATCTGTCTGGCTTCCACCATAGTACTTTCGTGCCTTCCCACAGACTCACTTGGATGAACCTGGGAAAGGTCAATGCTAAGAGGAGTTATGTAGTTGAGTTTTCCAGTACCCCATTTTTACAGCATAGGTCACAAGGGTGGTAGTGAACCTACCATGGTAGGTCACCGTGGTAGACACAGGGTGACCCAGTAGCATAGTTAGGACAAGCCACATTCCCTCCTGGACTTTGCTCAGTCTCTTTGGGCAAGATGACAAAATTTAGTGACTCCAGACTTTACCCGGGTAACCTCATGCCTTTCAGGCTAATGCCAAGAGGGAATTTTTTGTTCTTTTGTGCCCTTAAGATCCCCTAATGAGGGTGCAGGCCCATCCATGTCAATAAAGTAGACCAAAGTGACTGGCCTGTGAGCAGATGTGACCAGGCCTCAATTTGACAGTCGTCATCGTTTTATTGCCCGGACTGGAGGAAAATCACATCTTTGAGCCTCCCAGGTCCAAATTCCAGCGCTGCCAGTTATGAGCTAAGTGATCTTGGGCAAGTCACTTAACTACTCTGACCCCTCCAGTTTCCTGTCCTAACAGTTGATACTTTGAGGTTGTTGTGGCAATTAAATGAGATTAAATACTTGTGTGCGACAGGGCCTGGCTTGGAGCCTGGAACACAGTAGGTGTTCAGTAAACTCTGTTCAATCTTTCTTCCTGCTGACACTTTGGACTTCTACACTGCTCTGTGGGCTGGGAACCAGCATGCAATGCTTTGGTATGAATACACTGGAGTTCAGAAAATGGGCAACTTGGTCAGCCCCCCACCCTGCACACTAGGTGTTTGGAGCACCCCAGGAAAACCTCTCACATATTCTTACCCCCTACCCAGCTCTTCTTCCATCTGCAACGAGAGCGCCGGTTCCTGGAGCCACGGGCCCGTTTCTACGCTGCAGAGGTGGCCAGCGCCATCGGTCACCTGCACTCGCTCAACATCATTTACAGGTAAAGTCTGTGTGTAGCTCTGAGCCTGGCTCAGGCCTTTTTCCCCCAACAGCCAGGGGTTCTGTGGAGCCCTAAATCCCAATGAAACCCTGGTGATGAACTTAATCCCTTGTCAGGAGACAAGGAGGGTCCACAGCTGGGGTAGCCTTGGGGGCTCCTCTTCCCAGACCCAAGTGCCTGCTGTCTTTGGGCGTCCATGCCTGGCCCTCCTGCCAGGGCCCTAGGTCCTCCACTGCATGCATTAAGTGACAGAGACACCGCTAGGCTCTTTCTTGTCTCTTCTTTTTTGTAGGGATCTGAAACCTGAGAACATTCTCTTGGACTGCCAGGTTGGTATATGTGTCGGCAAGACTACACGTGTGTACAGTGTGTCCTGAGTATGTATGTATACACACTGTACATGCCTGCATGGGTAGAGGATACATGAGACTAAATATATGTTTATGTATGTGTCAGTGTATGTGAAGAGGTCTGTGTGGGGCAGGGACAGAGCCAGGAGGAGGGTTGTTTGTTGTTATGAGCCGTGGAGTCGGTTCCGACTCATAGTGACCCTGTACAGGGTTTCCAAGGCTGTAAATCTTTACGGGAGCAGAAAGCCTCATCTTTCTCCCGCGGAGCAGCTGGTAGTTTTGAACTGCTGACCTTAAGGTTCGCAGCCCGATTTGTAACCACTGCACTACCAGAGCTCCTTAGGAGGGTAGCAAATGCTTTAGTTCCTCTATGTCTTAGACTGGCTTCCCTGAAGACAGACTCTGAGGTGGAGAATTGGGTGCAGGCCTGTTGGGAGATGCGTTCAAGAGGATGGTGGTGAGGACAGTGGGACCGGGCAGAGGTAGCAACCCCCTGCATTGTGGCTGCAGATGTGGCTCAGTGGTCCTCAGGGGTTGGGAGAGCCTGGAGCAGGGATGCTCTTTAGAATTGCCCCAGACTGAGGCAGGGAGACTGGGCCTTTGTGCTCCTGCACTGACCAGTTATTGGATGGGACTGGATGGTGTTGCATGAGACAGCTCATGTCGCTGAGGGCAATTCCCAACAGTAGGGGGAGGATAGGCATGTCAGCCCCAAAGAGGGGGCCTGGGCCCTCCATCAGCCCCTTCTCGTTGAGGTGCTAAGTCCCCAGTCCTCTGTCAAGGCGGTCACTGTCATCAGGCTCCATTAGCAACACTGTCTAGAGCTGTCAGTGTCATGGCGGTGGGTCTGCATCTGTGATGAGCTAGCGCCAGACACTGGGCTGTCCACCCTGGTCCTTCTGGAATCTGATTCTGGGTCTCTGCCTGGGGCATCCGGCCCCACAGCCTCGGCTTCGGGGAACAGCATCTAGGCTTGACAGTTAGGCCTGGTCATACCCTTGGCAAAGGACCACCCTTCAGCTCCTCCTTTGTCCTCAGGGACACGTGGTACTGACGGATTTCGGCCTCTGCAAGGAAGGTGTGGAGCCTGAGGAGACCACATGCACGTTCTGTGGCACGCCTGAGGTAAGCAGGGGTTTCCTAGGAGAGATCAGGTACAACTCCTTTTTAAAACTGACAGATTATGGCTGAAAGACTCCTTTCTTCCACTCAAGTACTTCCCAGGAGCAGGGGATACTGGCTCTTGGGATGGCTGGATGCTCTGCAGCAATGCTGGCCACTAGAAATCGAAATGCAAACCACATGGTGGTGCTCCTGGTTGTATTTCATTGAATCAATTCCGACTCAGAGTCAGTTTTGACTCATAGTGGCAACCCTGTATAGGGTTTCCAAGGCAGTAAATCTTTACTGGAGCAGAAACCCTCATCATTCTTCTGTAGAGCGGCTGGTAGATTTGAACTGCTGAACTTGAGGTTAGCAGCTCAACAGGTAACCCACCACTATCCTACCAGGGTTCCTTTTGCAAACCATTTGGGCAAGTTTAAATGTTGTAGCAGCCACACTGAAAACGTGGGGGGTAAAAAAAATAATAATAATAAAAAAACAAGTGAAATTAACTCTGTAATGAATTCACAGTGTAATGTGTTTAGCCCAATATCTCCAACATATTACCATTTCAACATATAGTCAGTATAAAATTATTAAGATCATTTGCATTGTTTGTTTCTAAATAAGTCTTAGTTAGAAGCAAAGTTAGTTAGAAACACTCATCTGTCAGTTTGTTGTACTGTGGTGGCTTGTGTGTTGCTATGATCCTGGAAGCTATGCCACAGCAGGGTGACCCATGGTGGACAGGTTTCAGATGAGCTTCCAGACGAAGACAGACTAGGAAGAAGAAGTGATGAACTACTTCCGAATATTTAGTCACTGAAAACCATATGAATAGCAGAGAAACACTGTCCGATATAGTGCCAGAAAAAGAGCCCCTCAGGTTGGAAGGCACTCAAAATGCAACTCCTCAAAGTAGAGTTGACCGTGATGACACGAATGGAGTAAAGCCTGTGGGAGAAAAGCCCACAGGACCTTCATTTGCTGATGGGGGCACAACCAAAATGAAGAGAAACAGCTGTAAACATCCACTGAAAATCAGAACATGGAATGTACGAAGTATGAATTTGGGAAAATTGGAAGTTGTCAAAAATGAAATGGAACCCATAAACATCGATATCTTAGGCATTGTTGTTGTTGTTGTTGTTATGTGCCGTGGAGTCGGTTCTGACTCATAGTGACCCATACAAGGTTTCCGAGGCTGTAAATCTTTACGGGAGCAGAAAGCCTCATCTTTCTCCCGCAGAACAGCTGGTAGTTTTGAACTGCTGACCTTGCGGTTTGCAACCCGATCCGTAACCACTACACTACCAGAGCTCCTTATCTTAGGCATTAGTGAGCTGAAATGGACTGGTACTGGCCATTTTGAATCTGACAACCACATGTTTACTATGCTGGGAATTATAAATTGAAGAGGAATGGTGTTACATTCATTGTCAAAAAGAACATATCCAGATCAATCATGAGGTACAACGCTCTCTGTGATAGGATAATATCCATGCACCTACAGGGAAGACCAAGGAGCTCTGGTAGTGAATTTAGAGATCATCTGAAGAACAGATTTGATATATTAGACACTAAAGACCAAAGGCCAAAAGAGTTGTGGGACAACATCAAGAACATCATACAGGAAGGAAGCAAAAGTCATTAAGAAGACAAGAAAGAAGAAAAAGATCAAAATGGATGTCATAAGAGACACTGAAGCTTGCTCTTCAGCATAGAGATGCTAAAACAAATGGAAGAAATGAGGAGGTACAAGAACTGAACAGAAAAATTTAAAGGTCAGCTTGAGAAGACAAAGTCAAATATTATAACAAAATGTGCAAAAAATCTCAAGTTAGAAAAACAAAAGGGAAGAACACGCTCAGCATTTCTCAAGTTGAGGGAACTGAAGAAAAAATGCAAGCCTTGACTTTCATTATTGAAGGATTCTCTGGGCAAATTATTGAATGATGCAGAAAGCATCAAAAGAAGATAGAAGGAATACACAGAGTCACTGTACCAAAAGGAAACGGTCAATGTTCAACCATTTCAAGAGGTAGCATATGATCAAGAGCTAATGATACTGAAAGAAGAAGTCCAAGGTGCATTAAAAGAACTGGCAAAGAATAAAGCACTGGGAATTGATGGAATATGAATTGAAATTTTTCAACAAAGTGTTGCGGCACTGGAGGCACTCACTCATCTATGCCAAGAAATTTGGAAGACAGCTATGTGGCCAACTGATTGGAAGAGATCTGCATTTGTGCCCATTCCAAAGAGAGGTGACCCAATGTAATGTGGAGATCATCAGACAATATCTTGAATATCCCATGTGAGTAAAGTTTTACTAAAGGTAATACAGAGATGGCTATAGGCATACATTGACAAAGAACTTTCAGAGGTTGAAGCTGGTCAGAAGAGGCTGTGGAATGAGGGATATCATTGCTGTCGTCCGAGAGATCTTGGCTGAAAGCAGAGAATATCAGAAAGATGTTTACCCGTGTTTTATTGATTATGCAAAGGCTTTCGATTGTGTGTATCATGACAAGCTATGGACAACATTGTGAAGTGTGAATATTCCGGAACACTTATTTGTGCTCGTGAGGAACCTGTAGATGGATCAAGAGGCAGTTGTTCAAACAGAACATGGGAACACTGAATGGTTTAAAATTAGGAAAGTTGTGCTACAGGGTTGTATTCTTTCACCATACTTATTCAACCTGTATGCTGAGCAAATAATCCGAGAAGATGGGTTATATGAAGAAAAACATGGCATCAGGATTGGAGGAAGACTCATTAACAACTTGCGATATGTGGATGATACAACTTGCTTGCTGAAAGTGACAGCGATGTAAAATATTTACTGATGATGATCAAAGAGCACAGCCTTCAGTATGGATTACATATCAATGTAAAGAAAACAAAAATCCTCACCACTGGATCAATAAAAAAAACATTCTTATCAATGGAGAAAAAGATTGAAATTGTCAAAGACTTAAGTTTTCTTGGATCAACCATCAACACTCATGGAAGCAGTAGTCAAGAAGTCAAATGACGTATTGCATTAGGCAAATCTGCTGCACAAGATCTTTTTAAAGTGTTGAAGAGCAAAGATGTCAGCTTGAGGACTAAGGTGTGCCTGACCCAAGCCATGATATTTTCAGTAACCTCATATGTATGCAAAAGTTGGACAGTGAATAAGGAAGACCGTAGAAGAACTGATGCATTTGAGTTATAGTGTTGGAGGAGAATACTGAAAGTACCATGGGCTGCCAAAAGAACAAACAGATCTGTGTTGAAAAAAGTGTAGTCAAAGTGCTCCTTGGAGGCCAGGATGGCCAAACTTCATCTCTGATACTTCAGACGTATTGTCAGGAGGGACCAGTCACTGGAGAAGGATATCATGCTTGGTAAGGTGAACGGTCAGAGAAAAAGAGAAAACCCCCCAGCGAGATGGACTGGCAAAGAGGCAGCATCAGTGGGCTCAAGCGTGGCAACAATTGTGAGGTTGGCCCAGAACTGGGCAGTGTTTCATTCTGTTGTGCATAGGGTCACTATGAGTCGGTACCAACTTGATGGCACCTAACAACAACAAGTTTTAGAAATCAAATTTGTTTTTACACTTGCATCTCAATTTGGGCTGGCCACCTATGGCTTGTAGCTGCTGTGTTGGACAGCACTGTTCTATAGGGGTGAAATCCCTATGCAATGTGAAGGCCTGGCCTGAGAGTTAAGACCAAAGTCTGCAAGGACAAAAAACTGGCTCATCTCCCTGAAGGTTAATATGTGTGGATCTCAACAGTAATTCTTAGCCTGGTCTTCCAGGCCTCCCTGCAACCTAGGGTTAAAACCTTTCCTTAAATTTCTACCAACGCTGGACCTTGGACCTTGCACCCAGAGGGGTTCCTAGGGCTTGGGCAGACATCAGGGAGATCAGAGGTGCTGAGGCTGTGGAACTGAGATGGTCCTCCCAACCTGACACAGGGCAGGACTTTAGATGATCTGTTTCCCTGAGTACGCTTGAAAAACTGAGTCTGGGATCAAACAGAGCCGCCTCAGTTTGGTTCCAGGCTAGCTGCTGGACAGGGGACTGCTGTGTGCAGGACTCAGTGTCTGTTTCCATATGGAGACCACTGGCTCCACAGAACCTGCCAGTCCAGCCATCCCTCCTAAGACACTGCCAGGGGGCAGGCAGTGGGGCATCTGCAACCTTGTCTCCCCCATGACTTCACCACTGCTGGGGTGCCAGGAACCAAAGTTGCTCCCAAGGTTTGCCGACCGACACACAAGAACATGGCTTTAAAAGAGCCTCCATGGAGGGATTGTGCAGCTCTACTCTATGGCTGGGGAAACCAAGGCCCTGGGAGGTAAAACACGCCGCCTGGCCTGGGACCACACACCAAGGATGTCTCAGGTCTGACCCGCACAGTCTCAGGATGGCTCTGCCTGTGGCTGGGACACCACTCCTCAGTGGCAGAGCCATCAGCCTGCATGGTGACTAGTCCTGTCCCCAGCTCTGCCTCAGGTCCTCTCCTGTCCCCAGAGCTCACAGTGTCAGTGTGAACACAAGTGTCACCTGCTCCCTCTTGACTCCTCTCCATCCATCACGAAGATTTCCCACAAAAGTGCTGCAGACACTTCAGTCTCCCTACTGCACTATGGGTGCTCCCAGGGCACAGATAGTCTGGTGCATACTTCTGTACAGAATTTAAAGTCACCTTCTCTGGGTAGGCTAATTAGAAAAAGTGCCCTTTGAGCAAAAATAAAGTCACCTGATATAGTCCTACACTAAGCTCACCGCTTGATGAATGGGTCACAGCCAGGAGTTCATCCCATTTCCAGTACTTTTGTGCAGTGCCCAACATGCAGGCCTTAGTAAACGATCGCTGAGTGATCACACATGTGAATGTCACACACAGAATGTCTTCAGCTCCTTGGACCTTGTTACAGATGGGGAAATTGAGGCTGGAGGGGGGGTTGTGTTTCAAATAAGTGTGTTTGTCCCCTACAGTACTTGGCTCCTGAAATGCTTCGGAAGGAGCCTTATGATCGGGCGGTGGACTGGTGGTGCTTGGGGGCAGTCCTCTATGAGATGCTACATGGCCTGGTGAGTGAGATAGAGCCATCTGGTTCTGGGGGTGAGTTTCTCCCTCGAGCGGCTGGCTCAGGGAACCAAAATGAGGCTCCATGTCAGGCTCAAAAAGATGATGCCAAAGTGAATATAAGGTTCTATTTTTATTTTCAATAATGCTTACAGTTTACCATCTAAAGTATTACTCCTTTGATGCCTCAAAGCAGCCTTTGGGAAAATGCATAAAACCAAAACCAAACCTACAGCCATCGAGTTGAGTCCGACTCATGTCGTTAAGTGCTATAGAATTGGTTCTGACTCATAGAAACCCTGTATTGGGTTTCCAAGGAGCAGCTTGACCATTTAAACTGCCCACCTTGTGGTTAGTAGTCCAGTGCTGATCCTACAGCACCACACCAGGAGTCCTTCAGCTACCTAGCTTGAAGGAAATGGCTCTGCAGAGTGAGGAGAAGGAGAAAGAAGCTGGCCCAGGAGTGGGAGGCTAAGCATCAGGAGAGAGAAATGAGTCCGGGACAAGGGGCTGGCTGCCTGACTGAACCCCTCAGAGCCTCAGTCTACTTTCTCATGTGAAAATTACAGTCTATCTCCGAGGGCAGTTGTGAGACTGGGGGTGGGTCGATAAAGGTGCTGGTGTAAACTTTACAAAGTGCAGTGTCTCAGCTGGAGATCACAGATGAAGGGGCTTCAAAAAGTTTGTGGAAAAGTGGAATGAAAAGATAATGGAATTTTCCCACTAACTTTTTGGAACCCCCTTGTAAGACTGGTGGGACAGTACATGCTCCTGGGAGCTACACATCTGACACTGATGAGAGATCCATCTTGGCTGTGCCAAAGCCTGAGGACTGTCTCTCTCTAGTCTGCTCTGTGAGTCAGTGCCCCAGACATGGGTCAGCCTGAGACCCCAGGTTACCCAAGACCCCAGGTTTGCTCCAAGACTCTCTGAATCCTGTGTCCTTGTTTGTATGGATGGTCCCCTAGCCTCTCTTCTCTTGCACCAGCCGCCTTTCTACAGCCAGGACGTGTCGCAGATGTATGAGAACATTCTGCACCAGCCACTGAAGATCCCCATGGGCCGGACGGTGGCTGCCTGTGACCTCCTGCAAGGCCTTCTCCACAAGGACCAGAGGCAGAGACTGGGCTCCAAAGCCGACTTTGTAGGTGACCTGTCAGGGGAGCACTGTCCCTTGTGGAGCTGCCAGCCTATAGTCAAGTTAACACACATGTGACTCACTGACTACTTTCTTCTCTCAGTCAGTTCTTTCTTTCAGCCAGTATTTACTGAGCAGCTCCTATGTGCCTGCCTAAGTGCTAGGAATTCCATAGGCTGCAACGTGTCTTTATGGGATGAACAGAAAACAGACAGACATTATATACAATTATTACAAAGTGTGACAAGCGTCAGGAAGGAAAGGAAGAATGAGCTAAGACAGACAAGAGTGGGAGGGGGCTAAGAGACACTGGTATAATCAGGAAGCAAGGTCCCCTCTGAGGGTTTAAAGGAGGAGAAGGAGCGCTGGTGGGGAAAGCTGGGAGAAGGCATCCCAGACACCAGGGATGTACAAGCATCCTGTGGTGGCAACGAGGAAGGGAGTGGTAGGTTATAGGGTGTTTTGAACAGTCAAGTAGCATGACCTAGCTGCAGTTTTAAGAAGATTCCTCTGGCTTCTGTACAGAGTGACTCCGCATGACTTTTTTTTTTTTTTGCATTGTTACTTTTGTTGTTGTTTTTAAAGTTTTTATTGAGTGATAGTTTACATGGGAGAACATCGGTTTTATAACATGGTTTCATTGCAATGATTACAATCTCCTCTGTGCATCATCATTCAACGGTATTTGCTTCTATTCCCTGTTTTTTCAGTTGTTTTTTGTTTTTAATCTAGCTCTTACTCCCAGGCTCTCCGAATACAGAGATAAATAATTCATAGTCTGTTCCCTTAACAAGCTCATGATATTTTTAAAGAAGCTCCTTGAAAAATAGTTTTATGTTCTTTACCCAAAAAAAGATCATTTGGATTTAGAAAAAGACAATCACTTTTCTGCTTAGCAGTTTCTTTTTTCCTAGCACAGTAGTTAAGATGCCTGGAGAGTGAGGCCCAACTTTGGTGGTTTAGGTCCCTGGGCCACTACTCCCTCGTTGCGGGACCTTAGGCAAATTGCTAATTCCTCTTTGTGATCCTCTGTTTCCCCATCTGTAACAACAATACTTATCTCGTTTAGTTGTTTTGAAGATCAAGTGAATTAATACATTGTAAAGTACTTAGACCAGTGCCTGGCACATGGTCAGTGTTTTTAAAGTGTTTTGTTATGTGAGGTTTAACAGCATTTAGGACATCTGCCCACTCATCCCCTACCCCCATGGAGAGCAGATTCTACTAGCTTGTTCACTGACATACTTCCGAAGCCTAAAACACAGTCCCTTCCTAGAGTCTCACTGCGGTCTGTTCCGACTCACTGAGGCGACTCTACAGAACAGAACAGAACAGAATTGCGCCCTAGGGTTTCCAAGGCTGTTTTCTTTCTGGGAGCAGGCTACTACGTCTTTCTCCCATGGAGTGGCTGCTGGGTTCCCGCTGACTCTCTGGTTAGCAGCTGACTTCTTAACCATGGTACCATCAGGGCTCCATAGCCCAAAGTGGGTGCTCAGTAAAGAGCTGGGGAAAGAGCAAATGGTATGGGAGAGGTTTGGGTTCTAAATGATGGTGCAGGAAACTCACCTGGCTGAGAAATGTTCTCCTGTTCTCAGAAAACAGACTTTTTCCCAGTAAAGGTTTTAGGGCTGCTCGTGGGTGATTTGGGGATCTATGGGGTCTGGCGGTAGGGTGGGGCATTGATGTGAGAGCTATTTCTGATCTGCCCCTTCTTCCTGCAGCTTGAGATAAAGAACCATGTATTCTTCAGTCCCATAAACTGGGATGACTTGTACCACAAGAGGCTGACTCCACCCTTCAACCCAAACGTGGTAAGAGCCCTTGTCATCTGGAGCTTGCATTCCCAGGGCTGTTGGGAGTGTGGAGGGTATCTGGGCTGACCCTCTATGTACAGACAGGGTCCAAGAGTCTATATGCATTGTCCAAGTAAGTTAGAGGCAGAGCTGGATCAGGAAGCCAGGCTCAGCTGCCGGGTCAGCTCTGTGTGTGGAGCTACCCTATACGGGGCCCCTTTACCTTGCACACTGATAATCCCTTTTACGGAGCATGTGACCGCTTTAAAGTGCTCTGTGTCACCTAACATTTATTGGGTGCCACGTAGCACATCCAGACCCAGCCAGGTCCTGTATTTTTATCTTTTTCTATTTTTAACTGTTTTTCCTGATAAGAAAAATTACATAGTTATTGTAAAAAGTGTGTAAAGTACAGAGAAGTTTAAAACAGCTTGGGGAAAATGCTAGTGCTTTACTCTCTGAGGGAAACACTGTTACATATTTCCTTCTAGTCTCTTTTCTTCATGTTTTTCACATAGTTAGGAATCCTGGTGTGGTGCTCTGGTTAATGCGCTGGATTGCAAAGTTTGTTTGAACTGCAAGGTCAGTGGTTCAAGCTCACCAGCTGCTCCTAGGAAATCCTACACAGGGTCGCTATGGGTCAGAACTGACTCCACAGCACTTAACAACAACAACAACAGGTCATACTTTGTAGATCTTTGTCTGTATCTGTCTTCCTTTTATTTATTTCTTTTTGCTAAAAACGATTGCTATTTTCCCATGTCTTACAATACTTCATATTAGTTTGAACTTCAAGGTCGGCAATTCAATCTCTCCTCGCAAACCATATACAGGATTGTTATGTCAGAACTGATTCGATGGCACTTAACCACAACATAATACTTTATAAATATAACTGTTGTTGGCTGTGTATTTCAGTCCTATTTTGGTAACATCATTTACTCAGTCATGTTCCTCATGACGGACTTCAGGCTGTGACCATTTTTCTCTGTCATAATGTGGTGATGGACATGCATATTTTCCCAGAATTCTGACTATTTCCTTAAGCGCTCCAAAGGAAACCTACTAGGGCAAAGAATGTGGACTTTGAAGGTTCTCAGTTCATACGGCTGCCCACACTGTGTAATGGACTTCCCACCAGCAGGGTCTGCTGTGGAGTCCTCCTACCTCGCCTTCTGCAGCATGGGCCAGTGTTTCTTGTTCTCTACTTTACAAATTTGATAAGTAAACAATGGCCTCTCATACTTTTGTAATTTACATACCTTTGATTTCTGGTGAAGGTTGCTATTTTAAAGAATATTTCATTGTGCTTTCAGTGAAGGTTTACACAACAGATTAGGGTCCAATTCAACAATCCTTACACAAAGCCTTCAGTGATGCTGGTTACATCCTTCACAGCAAGTGCACATTCTCATTATTTCTATTCTGGCTATTTCACTTCTATTCATCTATTTTTCCTGCCCCCTGACTTGCTCATCTTTTTTTTAAGGGAATTATTGATCACTTGGATGGTGAAGGTGATTATTTTTTAAACATTGATTATCAATGGGGGCACAAGTAAAAGGAGTCCCATTGAGGTAGACATTTGAAGTTCTCTCAGCCACCTGCAGAGGGCACTGGCAAGCCCCCTTCTGCCAACGCATCCCATTAAACACTAGCGGAGTTCATCAGCTATTTGCATTAGTTCTTTGATGAATTACCTGTTCCTGAACATGTCCTCAATATGTTCCTGTTGTTAGATAAGATACACTTAATCCAGGTATCTGGAAAGTCTCTTTATCTTGAGATTTTAAAAAGTGAGGATATGAATAAAAGATTTTTTTTCAATTAATTAAAAAGAGAAGATAACATTGAACACACACCCTGAGAGAGAGCGATACACAAAATACTGGATAGAGAAGGAATCAAATTCAGTGCCTGGATTTTAGAGAAGCCATAAACTAAAATAAAAACCCACTGCCTTCAGTCGATGCCAACTCATCTAGAACTTCTCTCTAGGGTTTCTGAGGTTTTAAATTGTTCTCGGATGGAGTGGCTGGTGGGTTCAATCTGCTAACCTAGTGGTTAGCAGCCCAATGCTTAGTTCACAGTGCCACAAGGGCTCCTAGATTGAGGCATAAACCCAAAACCAAACCAATTGCCATCGAGTAGATTCTGACTCATAACCACCTTGTACAGGGGTTCCGAGGCTGTAAATCTTTAAGGGAGCACACAGCCCCATCGTTCCCATACAGAGCGGCTGGTAGGTTTGAACTTTGAGGTTAGCAGTCCAGTGATTACCCTATAGCACCACCATGCTGATGTTGTTAAGTGCCTTTGAGTCAGTTCCAACTCATAGTGACCCTATACAGAGTCTCCAAGGAACAGCTGGTAGGTTTGAACCGCTGATCTTGTAGTTACCAGTACAGTTCTTATCATACAGCGCCACTATACTGGGAGTAAATTCCTGGTTCCTCCACCTACTCTGAGTGACCTTTAATAAATTTCTTTAGCATTAGTTTCTTCATTTGTAAAACACAGAATGGTGATGTACCCTGGAGTCAGTAGAGACCCTGTACAGGCTATAACTCTTTACGGGAGCAGAAACCCTCATCTTTCTCTTGTGGAACAGCTGGTAGTTTTGAAATGTTTACCTTAAGGTTCGCAGCCTGATTCGTAACCCCTATCCTACCAGAGCTCCTTAAAACACAGAAAACACCTGCCTTTTCTAGGGTCACAAATCTAACAAGGGCCAGAGACAAGACTCATAGTTAGGTTTTGGAGCTCTAAGCCTTGAACTGGGACCAGTGTGACTCACGAGCTTTTTGAGAAGCTGTTTGGTTCCACAGCTCAAAACGGTCTTGCTAAAGCAGACCTGTAGCCCCTTCTTGCTCACCTGCTCACTAACATCAGGGTTTCAAGTGCAGCAAGATAGGGCAAACCCCAATGTGCGAGCCTTTTCAACTCTGCTTTTGTTTCGTTTGGTAATGTCCTTTGGCCTAAGCAAGTCACAAGGGCTGATTTGAGGGGAGATGAAGAATTTGTGGTCATTTTTGTTGTCTTCCAAAAAGGTCTTCCCCAAACGGAGAAAACAACTTCAGTCACTCTCTACCATACTGTGGCTGTGGCTGTTAAGTGCCATTGAGTCGGTTCTAACTCATAGTGACCCTATATAAGGTTTCCAAGGAGCATCTGGTAAGTTTGAACCGCCGATCTTGTGGTTCAAACCTATCTAATGGTCCAGTGCTTATCCTATAGTGCCACACACCAGGAATCCTTCTCGACCGTATCACCCTATTTTTGTTTCACGGGACCCTCTCACACCCTAAATTATGTATTTATCTATTTCTTCACATGCATATTATCAGTCTTCCTGTTGTCAGTTGTCATTGCATTAGCTCTGACTCGTGACATCTTATGTGAAACAGAACCAAGCGTTGCCCCATCTCATGTCCTCTTCATGATGTTTGATATGTTTGAACCCATCATGGTGACTACTGAGACACTCCATCTCATTGAGGATGCCCCTCTTTCCCATTGGCCTTCTACTTTATCAAACATTACGTCTTTTTCTAGAGATTGTGTCCAAAGTATGTAAGCCATTGTTTCTCTGCATAATGTAAGTTCCACGAAACCAGGGGCTCACTGCGTTTTGTACATGAACAGTGGCTGGTAGGCATTCAGTAAGTTTCTGTTGAGTGACTGACTTGCCCAAAGGCTGATGTGGTGCAGGCAAAGTGGCAGGGTGTTAGAGGGACGGGTAGGTTAGTGGACCATGTGGAATGAAATGACTAATGTAAATACATGAGTATAGTTAAGTATGGTGTTTCGAAGGTTCTCAGAGGGGAGGTCTACCATCCTTAAATAGGACAGCTGTGACTCCCGGTGTCCCCTTCTCATCGTTGGCTTATATTCACAGGCAGGACCTGCTGACTTGAAACACTTTGACCCAGAGTTCACCCAGGAAGCTGTGTCAAAGTCTATTGGCTGTACTCCAGACACAATGGCCAGCAGTTCTGGGGCCTCAAGTGCATTCCTGGGATTTTCCTATGCCCCAGAGGATGAAGACATCTTGGCTAGCTAGAAGAGAAGGCACCTGTGAAACCGCTCAAGACAGCTGCTATCAGTAAGGAGTTACCTTCAAGTACTAGGAACAGAGACTCAAAGTAACAATGGCTTAATTGAGAACTACTTTATTTACCCCACCCCACACACACATGCCACCAGATAACAACAACAAGTACGTAAGAAGAATGGTGTTAGGTGGTAGATCCAGGGCAGGTATCACAGCTCCATGACCATCAGAAACTAAGGTTTTTCTGCTCTGTACTTGGGGCAGATGGTTTCCAATATCACAAAAAGATTGTTTCATTATCACAAAATGGTTGCTGGAGTTCCAGCCATCACTTTTGTGTTCTGGGCAGGGAAAACGGAGGAAAGGGGGAAGAGCAAAATTCTTACACAGTAACTTCAGTTTCCATCTCATTAGCCACCCAATCCTACCTGTAGTAGAGGCTGTGCTATGTCATTTAGTAGGTGGGCACATCACTACCCCTAGCTAGTATAAGGGTTCTGACAGTAAGGGAGATGGGGAGAATGTTGGGTAGGCAATCAACACTCTGTACCAGAGGGTGTTTTGGTGTTTGGATTTTGATCTCTGTGTGTAGAACAAGAGCGATATAACAAGCCCTTAGGGTATTGCCCAGCATTCCTTATTAGTCTATGTTGATGATGCCTTTCTTTGTTCTATGATCTGGTTTGCTTGTCCCGCATTTGAACCCCTTCTTATTCAGGGAATTCTCTACTTTATGAGACTTAATGAAGGGCTGTAACTAACTCCTTATATAGCTGAACATGCTAGATACTGAATTTCCCAGCTTCCCTGAAGCTAGGCCCAGACATATGGCCCAGAAATGCCTGTGTGTCAGACTTTGACTCAAGAGCTAGTGTTACAAGAAGGAAGGGACTAAGGAGCTCTCTTTCATGTCGCAGCAGTGGTAACAGCACCCACAAAACTGAGTGCTGGTGTAGACGTGGCAATGATGTAAATTAGAGACAGCAAGAATGGCAGTTTCTCATCAGTCCAGCACTGTGGTGTCATTCCTGGAAGCTGAGTCTTGAGCCTGGTTCTCCAACTTTTCTAATGATATACAGACAGATCTTTTTTTTTTTTTTTTTTTAAACACACTCCTTTTCGATTTAATTGGCCAAAATCAGATTTGTTATCTGCCATTCAGAGCACCACCTGCCTATGCCAAATCATTTGACTATCCGAATCCTGAGAGCCAAGACAAGACCTGGTTGCAACAACCATGGGAAATGAAGTCTTAAAGAGGAGCCATTCATCTGGATGTTCATGGTCTGAGCCAAGTGACCAAGTTCACTTTCTGCTTCACTTCACATGACCTTGTACATCTGGCTGGTCCAAAGTCATGGAGAGCATGGGTGCTGGACAGAGCTGGAGGCAAATACAGGTTGGGTGACCAGCATGCTCTACCTGACTACCTATGGATCTCCATGTTTCAAGATTAGTTATTTCTACAGGTAACTCTAACCAGACAGAATGCGAGCATGTAAGACCTCAGGAATTCAGGGCACCATGCACTTGTGGGATGGATCATGCTGCTTTCTTTAAGTGGAAAAGTAGTTTATTTTTCACAAACCTGTGGCTCATCATCTACTTCATGGTTTGGGGACTAGGAGAACCTTCCTTAGAAGATCAATGTGTGCTGGTGATTTTTACTACCATTCCTATTCATTCAATCCCACTCTATTTCCTTTCCATTTTGTCTACTCTGCCCCCACCCCAGGAATTGTGGAGGATGAGGCTAGGTGACCATGAAAATGACATTGACCTATCTGAGATTAAAGCTGGATCTAGGAAAGCTAGGGTTAACCTTTGACATGTACTGAGAAGTCTGAAAAAATATTTGATTTCCATTTTAAATTGTTGTTGTTAAGTGCCATAGAGTCAGTTCTGACTCATAGCAACCCTGTACAGGGTTTCCGAGGCTGTAAATCTTTACAGGAGCAGAAAGCTCTTCTTTCTCCCGTGGAACAACTGGTAGTTTTGAACTGCTGACCGTGAGATTAGCAGCCCGATTCGTAACCACTACGCTACCAGAGCTTCTTTCCATTTAAAATAGCACCTGTTAATTGACGGATGTGGAAGATGACAAGGGGGAAGCCAATATCCTTCATAAAAGGGATTTTTTAAATTGCAGTTGTCAGAAACATATAGTATAAAAACTATACAATCAACTGTGGGTTGTGAAACACACAATGAATGGTTGTATCTGCTCTAAGACTGTAAAATCACAAATCTTTCTGTAAGGTAGCAAATAAAAATGAAGAAAAAAACCATGTTACTGCTTATGCCACACCTATGTTTATTGAGCACAGTTGTATATGCATCATTTGTATTTACAAATGATTAACCTCACTTTATAGATTAGAAACAAGAATCTCTGTGAATCAAGAGATTAAGCAGCTTGATCAAAGTCTTGCAGCTGGTACAAGACAGCCAGGAATTGAACTTGGTGTTGCTGTGCTCTGGGAGACATTCAATAAATATGAGTGAATGTACATGCAAAGTGTTGTTCATAGAGCCTAGTCATTTCCACCGCTGAGTGTTAGCTACTATAATTGTTTTCTCATTGTTGTTGTTAAGTGCTTGTTGTTAAGTGTTGTTAAGTCGAGTCAGTTCTGACTCAGTGACCTTGTATAGGGTTTCCGTGAGCTTGAACAACTGCCCTTGAGGTCTAATGCTAATCCTACAGCGCTGCACCAGGACGCATTAGACCTTACAATAATCCTAAAATAAAAAAAAATTATAAATAAATAAAATTCTCGCTAGCTCTTCCACCCCCAACAGTGGGAGAGCACTGGACAGATGTTCTTCTGGTCTTCTAGCATGAATCCTAAGACCTGCACCATCTCTCAACCCTTCATTTTCATCCCTAACTACAGTGAAGGGGCCTTCAAAAAAATTCCATTTTTCCACGAACTTTTTGAAGGCCTCTGTATTCACCCAAAATACATCCGCTGCAAGAGAATTCATAATCACCCTGGTCTGACCTTTTAAACTTTGCAGCGGCGATATTGTGAAAAAGCATCTAAGGTGTTGAAATATCCTAAAACGCCTATTACTGTGTACATGTTGAAGAGTCTAGCAAATGTAAACCCCAACTGTCAGCTGGTCTGCACTTAGGGGCTGTGGAGGGGGGAACTCAAGTGCAGCCCTCTCAGGACTGGCGGGGCACTGCCCCGTGGAGAGCGGTGGCCTGTCCGTGAACGGGGGTGGGAGGGCTACGACAGGACAACCTTTATGTGGCTATGGCTCTTCACAAGTTCCTTCCTCCTGGAACCACTCCTCTCTCAGATCTTTGCTCAGAAGGTGCACCTTTCCTGACTAGCTTGGGGCTCCCTTGGTGGTTATGTGCCATGGAGTCGGTTCCGACCCTGCACAGGGTTTCCGAGGCTGTAAAACTTTACGGGAGCAGAAAGCCTCATCGTTCTCCCGTGGAACGGATGGTAGTTTCGAACTCTGAACTTGACGTTAGCAGTCCGATTCGTAACCACTACGCTGCCAGAGCTCCTACTGGGTGGGCTCCCTTAGCACTGTGTTTTCACAAGTTCATAGAATCTAGCTAGCCAACTTCTAACGTCCCGGTGGGCGCCAGGCAGCCTGGCTCGCTTCACTGCCACCTCCCAGCGGTTATACGAGGACGTGGCGACGTGGGCGCTCAAGAGATGCGAGACTAATAAAAGGAACTAGCTCGAGCCACCGATTTCGCCACTTAGCCCGCCCACCCTCTTCCGGAAGCGCTTCCCAGACTCCCAAAGGCATCAAACTCGGGCCAAAAGCCCAGCGCTCTGCGCCTGCGCTCTTGGAAACAAGGCTGGGCGTTGCCTCCCTCCCTCTCGCTGGAAACCTTCGTTAGTCTTCGCGTGGAGCGAAATTGGGGCCTTTCGGATATATAATTTTTTGTGTGTAAAGTTTAATATTAAATAACAACATGAAATGGGTTTACATTTGGAGAAACTATAAACGCATCTCGTTGTGTTGGGATTTAACTCTCATTTAAAATAATGGAGTCCTGGTACCGTAGTGGATTACCATCTGGGCTGTTAGCCTTGAGGTCAGTACTTCAAAACTACCAGCTGTTCTGTGGGAGAAAGATGAGGCTTTCTGCTTCTATAAAGATTTACAGCCTCGGAAACCCTATGCGGGTCGCTGTGAGCGAAGCGACTCCACGGCACATAACAACAACATATATGAAGCCCTGGTGTGGCTCTATAGAATAAACACTGGAATGATAACTACAAGATTGGCGCTTCAAACCCACCAGCAACTCCTCAGAAACCCTAAAGAGAGTCAGAACCCACTCCACAGCAGCAAAATAAGAGTATAGTCCACACTGGCCCCGCCCCTGCCTGTACGCTCCTTGTGACGCACTTTCGGAAAGCCAAAGGCCCGGGCGAATTGGTATTTTTAGTCTGACGTCATCACTTCGCTCCGGAAGTAGATACTCGACTGGTCCACGCCCTCCCAGCGCGTCTGACTGTTCACCTTGTTGCTAAGCGTTCCTTGGTTACCTGGCCGTCGGATCCTGGATGGCGTCAGGTAAAGATGGTGGTCACTGGGTCTCAGGTGAGAAAGACTTCCGACTGTGATGGGGCTGCCCGGGGCTTTGGGCAAGTTGGGAGCTGGCGAGCGCTTCGCCAAACTGTCGAATCCTCTGGTCCTAGTGTTATGGACAATTGCAAGCCTGCAGAGGTAAAGGCGCAGATGTGGTTCCGGATCCCTGGCTGCGCACTGGGCCGGAATCTCTGTCGCCAGTGGACTAGGGGTCCCGGCCTTGCTTCTGAGTGTCTCGAGCTTTGGAGGAGAATCCTAAGATCTTTATGTTCAGTGAGATAAAGCACGTTGCTGCTACGCTTGCTCTTTCCGTTCGTCACCGGTGAAAATATACTTCTGATACTTAGTGTTCTTGGTGAGAAAGTGACTGGGCAGTGCTAGGCAAATATTGATCGTTTTTATTAAAACGCTTTTAGTCCTAAGGACACCAAGTTCTGGATTATTCTGATAGGTCAAGAATCCAGATTTGTTGCTCCCACCAGGTAGCTCAACTGTTGATAAAGTGTGACTACTTACTCTCTCCCATGAAGAGTTATACAAAAGGAGTTCATCCCCTCTTCCTAAGAATTCTGCTCCTAGCAATCTGCTCAGCAGGAATAATCTATCAGTGGCAAAAGCAGAAATTTACAAATTTCAGTAGTACCTATGTTGTTGTTAAGTGCTGTAGAGTCGGCTTCAACCCATAGCAATCATGCTTAGGGTTTCGGACTAGCAGCTGGTGAGCTTGAATCGCCTACTTTGTGGTTCAGACTGACTTTGAAGTCCAGCGCATTAACCCATGGCGCAGTAGTATCTATAATGGGAAAAAAAAGAAAAGATGTTCAATGACGGCAATAGTTCAGTATGTCACCTCCATGCCATAGCTCATGCACCCATGAACCTAATCAGGGGAACTTCCTTTTTGGAAAAGGAAAAATGGAGAATACAGTGGTTTTGGTATACAGCATAAAAACCAGTGTGCATGTGGGTGGAATGGAGCATCAGAAGACGACTGTGTCACACTGGTGAGATTGTAGAGGAATTTTTTTCTCAACTTGACAAAATTATTTTAAAGTTCAGCTGGAAGTGTCCCTGAAGTCCACTTCCTATTCGATTTTTCCCAGTAAATGAGGCAAGCAATATTAAGATCTTCCACAAACATCTAGCCAACTAAAATGGAGAGATGAATGGGTATGCTACTCATAGATTTCAGGATGTCTTCAAACTGAAATCTCAATGTTCTCAGTGTGCAAAACCTGAGATAGGTAGATGCTTAAGTAAGGAAAGTGCTATTCACCCAGTAAACCCAAAGTAAAAGGATAATGCTGGCCATATATTGCCTTTCTGACATTTCCTTGGGATTCTGCAAGAGCCTCCCCTTTCCCCCTTCCCCCATTAAGACCATTTAAGTGTGTGATAAACAACTACAGAATACTAAATAAAAAGTTTGGCTCCAAACCAAAAAATAAATAAATAAATAAATAAAGTTCAACTGGAAGAATAACTATATGAGGCTAGCCAAGAAAATTCTAGAAATTAAGGATATTAAAGGGGATTAGCTCTCTAACACTACCAGATTATGACCAGATTATATTATAAAGCTGTAGTTATTAATGTGGATTGAACAGGAATTTACAAACAAATAAACAAATAAAAGAGCTCTGAGTAAGACCTGGTATGGAGCAGCACTGGACTGTGAACCACAAGGTGGGCAGTTCAAACCCATCACCTGCTCCTCGGAAACCCTATACAAGGTCGCTGTAAATCGAAATGGACTCAAAGGCACTTAACAATAACAACGAACATTTATATGTATTGTATTTGTATATATTATGGATTTATTCTGTAGTCAAGTCAAGGTGGTATCTCAGATCAGCATTGAAAAGGTAAATTGGTGTTGGGCAACCTTCTAGGATTTTAGGGGAAAAAACAACAAAGCTCGTTTTAAGGACCAAAAAAATTTTTTTTAATGTCAGTTAATTCCAACTTGGGGTGACCCATATGTTACAGAGTAGAACTGTGCTCCATAAGGCTTTTCAGGCTTCAGAAGTAGACCACCAACTCTGAACACTTGTTCCCTCAGGAATCAGATTGGAAAAACGGGCTGAGGGAACAAGGGTCTGAAGATGGTGTGGAGAACCCTAGGGTAGAAGGATGGGAGTGCCAACTAAAGAGGAGGCCTAATCTAGAAAGGACTGACTCTGGCCTTAGGTTTCTGCAGTTATAATGATGTATTTTACTCTCAACCTTTGAGAATTTAGGGAGGTCATATCTGGGTTGCAGCTGTATACTCTTTCTTGATAGGAAGTAGAAGGCAACTATTTATTAATTTTGATGTCTTTGTTTTGGAATATTGTTCATTCTGTGATCTGATCCCTTTTTTCTTCCTTAAGGTAACTATGGAGAAAGAGCTTCGGAGCATCATTCTTTTCAATGCGTCCAAAAAGGAGCTCTTTACCACCAACAGTGGTTACAAATCCATGCAGAAAAGACTTCGAAGTAATTGGAAGATTCAAAGGTGACTGTTGCTTTGACTTTTTAACTGTCAACAGGAGTCTGCTGTAAAACTAAGAAAATCTTCTCTTCTTATATAAAATGGATTAATTAGGTGATAGGAACTCCACTCTGAAGAGTGTTTGGAAGTAAATAAATTATTATTAAAATGTCTTATAAAATCAGGTTATTATTTATTGTTTCCCAGAGCACAAACCAAAAAATTATTGTAATTATATAATTTTTTAAAAAATGACTGAAACTTTCTCAGGCTCTTTGATAATTATTGATAAAGTCATGCACTTATTTTAATGTGGGTTCATACTTCAGTTTGGTGGTGGTGGTTGTGTGCCGCTGAGTCGGTTCTGGCTGAGCAACCCTGTATAAGGTTTCCAAGACTGTAAATCTTTTACGGGACCAGAAAGCCTCATCTTTCTCCTGCGGAGAGTCTGGTTGATTCGAACTGCTGACCTTTTGGTTAGCAGCCCAGCCCTTAATCCACTACGCTACCAGGCCTCCTTATATTTTAGTTTGGGAAAAGGAAAATGGAAAATAAAATAGAATGTCTCTCTCTATGTATGTGTGTGTATCTACACTTTTTAAAATTGTAATGGTAAGGATAGGTAATTGTGGTGGTGGTCATGTGCCATGAAGTTGGTTTTGACTCATAGTGACCCTGTGGAGGTTTTCCGAGGCTGTAAATCTTTACAGGAGCAGAAAACTTCATCTTTCTCCCGCAGAACCGCTGATAGTTTTGAACTGCTATCCCTGAGGTTAGCAGCCCGACTTGTAACCACTACGCTACTAGAGCTCCTTGAGCTAATTGTAGAGTTGACTGAATTAGGAGTTGGAAGACCTCCTCTTGCTGTTGCTGTTTCTTTATAAGTGCTCTTGAGTCAGTTCTGACTCTTAATAACGTTGTGGCTTGCAGGCCAGCGCTGATCCTACAGTGCCCCACCAGGAATCCCTTTGCTGTAGCATGGGTAATTCTGACGCCTTGACTTACAGGCAGTGTCTGCGCTTTGATGGGGCAGGCCTGTAGAGCGGTTTCTCACTTTGAGAAACACACTAGTTCTGTCAGTTCCTTTCTCTGAGCCTCTCTGGCCTCTGGTTCCATACAATCTAGAAGCTAATAGAATTCTTAAATTGGTTTAAACCATGACTCTAACACTTGCTTTAAAAATCATATTCTAGCTTAAAAGAGGAAATCACATCTGAGAAGCTAATTGGGGTGAAACTATGGATTACAGCTGGGCCAAGGGAAAAATTTACTGCAGCTGAGGTAAGCTATAACCAAGAAATGGTTCCTGCCTTCAAATTCCACGTCAGCATTTACTGTGTATATTTACTGTGTATGTACTGCATTAAGGGAGTCACTGTCTCTCAGCCCATTTCCCATCAATAATAATGGGATGATACTAATTGTAACTACGTCATAGAATTTTTATGATGATTTTTTGAAATAATCCATCCAAAGTGTTAAAGTGCCAGACACACAGGAATGGTGAAATATTACAGACTTTGCTACCATTTTCTGCTCTGAAAGTAAGACATTTTCACGTAAAATATAGCTTTATTTCATGGAACAAGTGAAGAATGATAAAGCAAAACACAGCTACAGCAAGTGTGTTTCTCACAGAAACTTGTAGGCAGTTCCTTGGTGCTTGGGGAGGCTGTGGGAGAAGAGAGGATGAGGTGGAAGAGGGCCAGGATGGTCCCTAGACAGAGGCAGGTCTCCTGCCCTTAGCATCTTTGTAAGAACCAACATTCCCTTGCTTTTCATTCTTCCAGTGTCTGTCCAGTGCTTGTAGAGGTCCTCCTTAAGGGAGGAGGAGATGATTGGTTCCCTAAGCACTGAGTCTGGCTTCCTAGGACCAATAAAAGGTTCAATTCGTCATGTAGTCAAGGACTACGTGATGCCTCTTAAATGCCCTTCAGAATCTCATGTGATGGGACAGGAATCGTCTTATCTGGCACTAGATACTTGTACCAATCTAGAAACTAGGCTGAAGAGTGCTCCCATTTCCTACCTCAGTTACATTGGCTCATTAGACTTGCTTGGTGGTAATCTTCAGTTACCACTAGATGACCACATGGCCCAAACCAGTAGCTTGCCAACCTTGGTAACCCTATACAGGGTCACCATGAGTTGGAACCCACTTGATGGCACTTGGTATGGGTTTTGGGTTTGTTTGTTACTGCTCTCTATATCCTGGGGCAAACATCTCGGGAAGGGCATGCGCACAACAGCTAAGCCTCAGGGTTCTGAGGTGGTTGGGTATCTGTGATGAACCACTGGACTACCACAATGAAATCTTACTTATTATATGTATTTTGTCTTGTCTGACAAGTTAC